ACGTAAATTATTTTCAATTGTATTAGTAATTATTACATTATTGTATTTATGTATATTAAATATATGATTATCTTTACCAATATAATACTATGTTCAATTAATGATCAAATATGTGTTATTTTGGCAATATCAATTTAAACCAAATTTATTGAGACGTTAATTAGAGGGAAAGAGATAGATTAATAGATATTCAACGAGATGTACATTAACTGAGAGAGATGTATAGAGAGATTAAAGGACTAATGATTCAATATGGTATAAAAAAAATCAAATGGACAAATTTGAAATTAAAAAATTTACTTATCAAAATAATAAAGGGAGACCTCATCTCCCTTAATATAATAGATCGATAGATATCTCATTTCGTATAGTATAAAACTTATTGACGTCTTGGAAGTGAGAACTAATACCAGGGCAAGACAAGTAGGGTTGGCAAAGGGCCGGGTCTGGGTCAAGCCTACCCTGGTCCTAGCCCGGCCCAATTCCCTTGAGGGCCAGCCCAAATTATGCCAAAGAGATTATGGCAGGATGGGGCCGAGCAGGGTCAAAGTAATTAAAATTAAAAAATAAAATAAAAAATAAAAAAATAAATGAGGATCGGGACAGGCTGAACCGGGTGGACCTGTCTTACGCCTGGCCCTACCCAGCCACATTTGTGACCCAGGCTAAAGTCTTTTTAGAGCTACGCTGACTGGGCCAGGCTGGGCCACCCGACCCGTTACTATACTAAATGCTAAGAAGGGAACATGTGAAATGTATGACCCCTAAAGTAGAATAAAATTATCCTTCATTGGGACCCAACTATATTGCCACTGGTGCAATGCGCGTGCGAGAAATTAGAAAAAGGTAAAGTCTATTATAACCTTGAGAGAAATAAACATATCATTTCACTTTGGCAACTCACACAAAAAAAAAAGGGAACCACATTGAACATTCACCTACACATCATGTTGGTGGAATTTCAAGAAAAAGTTTGCATGCTTCTCAAATCACCATGTCGTAAAAAATGATAAATTCTCGATTTTATCATCTTGTTGGTCCGGTGATCTAAAACAATTTTTGACCTCTAATCAACTTTTTTTTCATTCATGATCAATAAATATAGTCAGGGATTTATAGGCGCATACACATCCCTCTAAAATGGTTTTCCAAGAGAGCGAGTGCACACACTACTGTCCCCTTGGATCATGTAGTTCTCTTTTCTCACTTTTACATCCTACGAGTTTAGCTTACACTAAAAAATCTTGTAATTTATCAATGGTGCTAGAAAAGAGATTGTTTATTGTACGATCATTTATTTTTGGATCCGGTTTTTATGCCGCCAACCCTGCATACGTAGAAATGCGGGCCCATTAATAAATCTACATTTGGACTTACTTTTTAAAGACATGTAATCTCTAACATGGACATCATGAATATGAAAAAGTAAGTAAAATTTAAAAACTAGAAATAATAATTCTAGTGAGAAGACATTTAGACCGTTAGTTTCTTTTGTTTTTAGATAGAATACCTACTTGCATGCATCTTTAAGATGGATGCTTTACACTTTTTGGACCGCATATGTAGTCATGTGGTCCCGCCCGCATAAAATAATTTTTTTTTATTTTTCGTACAAGGACATCACAATCATTTTTAGCCATCAAATGTGAAATCAAGAGTTTGATTGTAAAGTTAAAAAAAATTCTTTTTTATTTTAGATCATCAATGTGATATCTTTAACTATTTGATTTCACGTCCAATGGCCGATAATGATTATGACCTTCTTATACCAAAAACAAATGTTCTTTGCTTATAGTTTTGTTTCCAATAGAAAATGAGGAATTGAAGATGAGATACGGAGAATACTTTTCCTAATTGGCGCATACCTAAGTCACAAAGAACGGAGAACAAAGAATATTGAGTTTAAGTGAAGGCAAATGATTAAGTGGAAATATTTCATGCTCTTATAGGAGCATACTGTCCATTTGTTCCTCGGGCAAAATTAAAGCTTGGAATATTTTTTGGACCCCAACTTTTGGAGATGTAATCCCTAAAACCAAGCGAGAACCTCAATGGAGGACAAGAATAACTCACACTCTCTCTATTCCAAAAAATAAATAAATATATGATTGAACAAGAACCATCTAATCTTTCAAGGGAAAATCTAGATGTTCAATAACTCAAAATACAAAGTTTGGATTAAAAAATATCCTAAGTAGCTATTTTACCCAAGGGAGTTGTTATACAGTATTTTCCCACAAGAGCAGGCTACATGCGCTCATTGATTAAATATAAGTTTAAGGGAAGGTTAAACACTCTTATTTTATATCAAAGTGTCAATGCCTTACTGATTAATACGCTAAAGTGGCCAAGTTTTAAAAATTTTCTTTCTTAAAATTTTTTTATACTTCTATCTTTGCTTGTAGTAATTTCAAGGCTTGTTTGGAGTGCCAAAATTCTTGATAAGCACTAATTAACCTATCCAAATTTCATTTTGTTATTTTGCAATGGCCAGACGTTTCCATAGCTTTAAATTTAGGGAAAATTGTATATGGACCCCTATTTTGTATTTCAATTTTATAATAGCATCTTCCCGATTTTTTTTTTTCTTCTTTTAGGTTGCATTAAAATTTTGTTAAAAATATCAGTGTACCCCTCCCTCCCCTCTTTTCTCACTATTTTTAGCCTGAAAATAAACATTAAACATTTTACTTATTCCAAACAAGGACTTTCACTTCCCCTCCCTCTTTATACCTCTCATCTAACCCCTCTCTTCTCATTTTTTCACTCAAAAATTGATATAACAATTAGTACAGAGAGGTCACAATTACTTACAACCATCCGATGTGAAATCTTATAGCTTAGGTGTATCATAAAGTTCGAAAAAATTTCTTTTGACCTTTGAGCTTGATTAATGAAATAAGTGCAACCACCTAATTTCATATTTAATGACCAAGATTAATGGTGGCCACCTTTTTATACTAAAAGTAAATGGCCTCATTATATACTCTCCTTTAACAATTTCACTTCTCCCACTTTACACCTCTCATCTAACCCATTTCACCTCTCCCCTCAATCTCCTCGCTCCTCTCTCTCTATTTCATAGTGGGTAAGGCTCCATCACTCGTCTCTTATGTAGATCTGCTCTCCCCTCTCTCTCTCTCTAATAAGAATAAGATTATTAGCATCAAATTTTGGAAAAGAAATAAGAAAAAGATGGGAGTGATGGGATGTGGGGCATAATGATTTTTTAAACAAAAAATTAGTGTTGTTTGAAAGAAAGAAATTGGGAGGAGGTGTAGTGAAATTGAAATAAAATCAGGGGCCTGTATAAGAATTTCCCTTAAATTGAAATAAAAATCAGGAGAAAATGGCTCTCTCTCTCTCATGCTAGAACAACTTGTTTCTTCTATAACTCCAATGGCAACAATTAGTTGCAGAGATAGCGAGTGTTGAGGGGCATTATATGAGATGTTTGGAAGGGAAAGCTGGCTTATATCTCATATTCAACAATAGCAGAAGTTGTTCAATCAAGTTCTGGCCTCTTTGCATCTCAAGTAGGAATGTAGTTTTACATTTCCATCTCTCTCTCTCACTCTCTCTCTCTCTCTCTCCTGGTGCAGTTCCAAACTTTAGTTTAGGATGAGAAGGACTCTGTTGAGAGGTAGAAATCCTTATTCGGCAGCTTCAACCATGGTAGCTACTTGCTCAAAGGAGACTTATATGGGAAAAAATTAGGGTTTCAGATAAGTAGCTGGAATTTGGTAATCGTCATGGTGTCTTCGAGGTTTCAAGGAGACTTATATGGGAAAAAATTAGAGTTTCAGATAAGTAGCTGGAATTTCGTAATCGTCATGGTGTCTTCGAGGTTTCGGGTTTAGAAGTGCGCAATCAACCCGCCATAAAATGGAGGAAGTTTGGGGAATCAGAGCTCCTCATGTATAGTGACTTTGGTCTCTGTTATCCAAGTTATGGATTTTTGTGCATGGCAAGCTCCAGGAGCTCTTTGCATTTCCTTTCCTTTTAAAAGCCTTGTTCTTAATTCAAAATATTTATAGAACAGGTGGGTTACCCGCTTAAGTCCTCTTATCATAGGGCGCCTTGGTTGGAGAGTAAATATTTCTGGCGGAAAATTCTTTACATAGGTAAATTTTGTCCATGTTTGTTAACATGTCTAAAAGTAACTGTACAATGAATTTTATATATGGCTTTTGTTAGGTTACACCATTTGGTGGTGTAGACCCTCAAAGTGCTCAACATTTTTTTGACACCAAAATACTTTTGAATTGTAATACAATAAGTAGGGGTATTTTTGGTCATTTAGAAAGTTGAATTGTCATACAACAAGGAGGGGCATTTTTGGTCATTTAGAAGGGGTAGAACGGATATTTTTATAAGAAAATAGTGGCATTCTATTGGAAGTTAAAAATCTTGTGGGTGATGTCACACACCACATCGGTGATGTCGTTGTCTACTATTGTTAATAAATGTTTTTATTTCTATTAAGATTTTTTAGTTTACCATTGACTAATTACTTAAAATACCCCTAAAAAAGAGTTATTATGCTTAGGATAAGGGTATCTAAATGTCTAAAAATGTTGAGCACTTTAAGGGTCTATACCACAAGTGGTGTACCCTAACAAAACCCTTTATATATTTGTTAACTTGATTTAAATATATTTCATAATATATATTAAAATTTTATGTATTTAAATAAATAAAATATATATATATATAAGCATTATTTAATACTAGTTGAATTACGTGTGTTGCACGTAGGAATAAAATAACCAATCATGAATTTCTCATATATATGTCACTTCTATTTTGAGAACTTGTTTTGTCATCTCTAGTAACAAATATAGTAAATTGGAATGCAACATTATATCTTTGAATATTCATCAACAAAATATGATGATTGGGTAAATAATTCATAAAGTTCATTTGAAGTATTGGGTGATTTATTGCACTATACGTCCTCCACAACAGATAGCAAGGGGTTCATATTGAAACTAGATTGCATGACAATGTCGACAAATATTGAGAGGCTTGAGATAAAACCCATTGTCATTGTCACTATTACT